CTGTTCTGAACGAGCTATGTGTTCATCAACAGTTTTCGTCACAGAAAAAGTGCACTTATAAAAAAACGTGTTCCAATCGCTCGAACTGCCTCGCGATTAACAATCTTGCTACACAGCAAAAAGAAATAAGACATACACAAAAACAACGGACACAAAAAATAGAAAACAATCAAACGCATAATTAGTCACATTGGAATGAACACTGCAGGACACTATCCATCCACTTCCCACAGATTTAACAGTCTGGTTCTCTCAGAATTCTGCTACAAGTGGAAACTTCATCATCCCGGAAACAACAACCGAGATGCAAAAAAACAGTATTACTCTATCTAGTTCGCAAGTCCATTGATTTTCTTGCACTATGTATCGCCTCTTAATTTTTGTAAGAAAAGGGAAATGCTTTTCTAGCCATTGCAAAAGGTGTATGTATGTGTAAGTACCTATGTATGCACGAATGTATGTATGCATGTATGTATGGATTGATGGATAGATGAACGTATGCATGGATATATGTATTTATGTGTGTATGTAAGAAACATGATTCTTTCTGTACCATTAATAAATACCAGCATTCATAAATACCAACAATTATCTATTACCTTCTTTTGTAACGAAGTTATTATCGACCAGGTACTGCAGAGAGTAATCCAGAAGGTCCTGATTTTGTTCCTCAGCAGCTTGTAGTTCATCTGACTTACAAAATGCATAAGAGAAGAATTTTCTCACGTCTGATACCGTGGTCGCCGTGCCATTACCCAGAATCTGAAAAGAGACCGTGAAAAAGGAAATGGCACTTTGATGCAGCAGCTCACCTCGAGAATAGCACGAATGCACTTCGAATGTCCTCTGTCATCGCCGCTGAGAGTATTGTTCTTCGAAGCATCTTCGCCTTTCAGCGCTGCAGCCTGTCCGAATAACTTCTTCACTCGGTCAGCGTCGTTTTTGTGGCAGACGAGTACACTTTCGCCTAAAAGACCAAAGTATTAGGACAATAGATTTTCTCTTTGAACAGAGCCAGATTTATTCTGCCAATTGCTGAGAAAATCTTAAGAGCGACAATTTCCGCAGTCAATAAAAAATCATAGTCGCAGTCGAAAGATAAGGAGTTCAAATGCCAGTTGGGTCATTCACCTTTCCTTCGTCAGACGTATATAAATCAGTACGAATTTGAGAGGCAGGAAACAAGGAGCTATTTGCCACATCGTAGCAGACATTGCGTTTGAAACAGCCAACTCCTGGCTGACGCTAACAAAATCAATGCCTTATCATACATCACATGAAAAGAACGGTGATACAACCGGTGTCCATCATGGTAGTGTGACCGAGACTGACATGCCTAAGTTAAGAGCTTTCATTTTCTTTCATTTTTGCAATCGACATTAAGAATGCACAGTGTATTGCAGAAACGGTATAAACATGGCTAACAACAACAAGTGACTGATCCGTCTTCGTAATTAATAGAGTCACCCATGCATATTCTCTAAGGCTACGTTCGTCTGTCATGTGCAATTTTGCTCAACAAATCTACAAAACTCTCGTTTAGCCCATCTAAGCTGAGGTCTAACAATTGGGCGCTTGAAGTCCGTCAGGCATCAGTCGGTTACTGTTGAAGCCCATCGGCTATCCATCAGTAATGCGAAGTAGTCTGACTTGAGCTGAACACAGGGACGGGGGACAATTTTTGTTTGTGCTCTCCGTTTCATTTAATTTTGGCAAATGGTTTTAGCTACTGTTCACGCTTGCAAGGCGTTTTCGCAGAACTCCGCTTGCCCTTCATATTGGCAAAATTGGGTTTCAGGCGATGGCTCTGTGAGGCTTTGCCCTCAGATGATGGCTCTGAGAAACTGCCCTCTCAGAAGTTCCCTCAGTTAGCTGACACAGT